ATACATACATACATACATACATACATACATACATACATACATACATACATATTCTTTGCATATTCTGCCCTTTAAATATGCAGCATACAAGTACTTCTCACTTCCCATTAGGCCAAATCAAGTCCTTTCTCCATGGACATTTTTCTGTGTCATGCACTTCTCTTTCTCTGGTGACAGTAAGGGCATCCGGCCAGTAAACACTCAACTCCACTCAGTTGCCTAGACTCTACCCTACCAAGGATTATGGGGTCATTAAAAGAGTATGATGATGAAGATGATGCACTTCTCTTTCGCATTTAGAATGTGCCTTACCAGCATACTATCTTGCAGCATATTATTTTGATGGAAGGGCGATTGCGCATTTCCCACAATCATGCAAAAAGATTCTGAGGCCAGGTCCTGATATCTAATGTTCATGGAAAGTTCCATCCTTACATTGAGAATCCCTTGGAAGATTCTCATACCTCACCCCATCCAAATTGCAGTCCCAAGGATTTTTCTAAGTGAATGACCATGATGGCCATCAGTAATGTTTTGCTTCACTGGGTGGCTGCTTATTGAACACAAAGCTGCACAAATTCCAGTTGTGTCGATGTCTTTCTCCTACATCTGTTCTGAACATCTACAGTGGTGCTTTGAAACTCATCGAATTTGGTACTCAACACATTTTGACCCGATTTTTTTTTTTTTACCCAGTATTCATCATTTGTTTGGTACTCAACGCACAAGCTAGAATTTGTTGGTGTCGGCTGCCCAGTGACTCACTACATTATTTCTTACTGGAAAAAATTGTTTGGTACTCATTATTTTTGGTACTCATTGCACTTCCCAGAATCAGTTAATGATGAGTACCGGGGTCCCTCTGTAGTTAGTGAAATCGATTGGTGGCTTCTAAAGATTGAACCAAATTGGTTTGTTTTTATACCTTCAGTATAATTTTGTTTCCTATCTTGCATTGTTGTTAATCAGACTGAACGGCAGTCGTAGGTGAAAAGTTGGAATTCAAATAGAAATAATTTTTAATTAAAAAAAATTCATGAACTAAAATTAAGATGTCCTGTCTCCAGTTTTTGGATGCTACTTGCTTCAGATGGGTAAACCTAGAATAAACAGTTGTTGCAACCACATTTGTGTGGGCCTGCACTTTTTCTGAAAGTTAGATCCTTGATCTTAATGTTCGTTCCCTTTGAACCCTGGGGTGGGAGGCTGGCTGTGTTTTTCCTGTAAATAGCCTAATTGTTTCTGCTTAACAGCTTACCTGAGTAAACTTGAATAACTGCCAATTCTTCCAACTTGCATGTTTACCTATCTAAATTTAAACTATCCAGGCAGTTTTATGCATCCCAGGTTGACATATTGTGAGGTTTGAGTTGTGGTTCTGGCTGCTGTTGCAGCTTTTTCTGGTCTGTTTTAGGTTGACCATGTTTGGCTGTTGCTACAAACTTTTCCCTCGGAGATCTTAGGTTTTGGTTCCTTTGTGGGCTTTGAGATGCCAGTTCTCCCACTGTTTGTTGAGTTTGATTTTCCTTTAAAGAAAAACTAGACTGTTGTCTGCCTTCAATTTGCTATGTACCTCCTGCTGAATAAATTTATCACAGTGGGAACTGGAATCCTCCCACATACCATATGAAATCTATAGCAACTTTCAATCCAAGGCTAATGATTCCACAATGGGAATAATATATTTTCTCATGATGTACAGCCTGGACTGAAGTGATTAGATTTGCAACTGCTAAATTGTATGCCTATTAGTTTATAATAAGCCTGGTATTCTCTTTCTGTTTGGCAATGGTAGCTTTGGAATTTCATGGAAAAACATTTACAGTGCAGTCCGTGTTTATAATCTGGTGCTCCCTAAAAAATCCATCAGCTGCATGTCTATGGAGATTCTCAGTCTGTCTGCAAGGAGTATAAATCCTTCCATTCCCCACCATCCATTCAGAGCTGAAGAAGCTTCTTGGATGAGAAGCAAAACCTCTTCAAAGAAAAACCAGAAACTTTAACTTTATTACTATTGTTGGGTATCAACACTAATACCCAGAAGCCACACTGTTCATGTATTTAATATTCATATACATTAAAAAAAAACTTAATTAAAAGGTCTAGGCAACTGGTTTGGGAAGGTTAGCCTGTATTTTGTGCTCGTGCTAAACTGACATATCAGTAGCCTGGCCTTAGCCTGATTTAACTGTTCTTTTGCAGACAAAACATGGCTTAAAATTGCAAACACATCATCTGAAAATAAGCTCCATGAAAAGAAGGGTGTTTTGAATCAGTTTATAAATGGGACGGCTTTCCCAAAATGTTTGAAGCAAAGAGGCTATTAAAAGAAGTGCTTAATTAATCTAGACAACCAAGAGAACCAGAGCCATCTCCATGGAATTGCAAAGCTAATAATTACATGGTTGTAGCCCCTGGATACCTTACTTTGGAATTAAAAATAAAACTGCTAATAATTAGTATCTTTATTGAAATCTGTAGAATTCTGCAGAGCTTTTATATGTGATCAGCCAGCTTCTTTGTTCTCTATTCTTTTTGGAGTAAGGTGTGCAACATATCAGAAAAGTCCATGAAAAAAAAGTTGAAGAATCTTTTTACAGCATCACATCTCATCCTTCTAATGGTCCACGTGCTGTTTAGAACAATTTATGGCACGTTAGAAACTGTGGTGCGAAATAAAACAATGAACTGACATTTTAAAACACAATCAAAAGGAGAAGGCGGTTAAAAACAGTGTTGTAATTCCATCAGCATCTAAAACCAGATGCATTGCCATTTGTTGTATTCTGGCATGGCTACTACACACAGAACTAAATATACCTGTAATATTATCAAGCTTGCAGAATGGGCCAACAAATCAGCTTTCCTTTTCAGTCTGCTTCAAAGACTGCCCTTCTAAAATGTCAATTTTCAATCAGTAGGTTTACCTTTAAGGGAGATCCTCTGAGTCCTGTATGTATATTGTCACAGAAATAATAGTATTTCTGTGTGTTGACCAGCAGCTATCCTAATTAGAAGATGATGATAAACAATATTTAAAATTAAAGTAACCAATATTTCTTTTGCAGCTGCAAAATCATAAAGCTTTGAACAAAATATGATATCCCACCAGCAAAGTGAAGAATGCCTGATACAAAAGAACCAAATCTTTTATTCCAAAGAATATGCATATATAATTCTGTCATGGTTTCTAAGGTGAAATCAGCTTATAACCAGAAGTAACAGATTTTTCTACTGACTGTTAGATTTCAAAGTCCCTCCTAAGTGACACGAACTTACTTTTCTGTTATTTAATATTCTCGTATCTAGAGTTAGCCTGGTGCCATCTTTATATTCTCCAGCAATACACACACCCAATGTTTACTGTTATTGATTTCAAACATATAAAGTTTGAAGATTTTTTTCTTTTTATTATTCATATTTGGAAAATAAACAGAACATGCCATGGATAAAAATTGTTGTTGGCTAATTTTGAGTAATTTTGTAAAAGGAAGCAAGGCTACTACTATCCAGATGGGAAGTCACCAATAAATCCTGGGCTAGACTACAAGATTGTCAAAGGGCAAACTACTTCAATTTTATTGAGAACAAAACATGGAGGTTGTCCAAAGAATTATCTTCCTTCTTCTTCTTCTGCCATATCCATCATTGGACGTTAGCGATCCTGGCGATCCTATTTATGGAATTACCAGGAATTTTTATTTCACTGTTTTATTTTATTTTGTTGTTTTATTTTGCTGTTAAAACAAAAGTGCATGTAACAAAAATTGGTTTTCTACCTCATTTAAAAAAAATTATTATTAAATATTGTAAATACAGTAGTAAAAGGAAATACAAATTAAATTCAGACAAAGAGAAAGAATAAAAAAAATGCAAAAAAAGAAAAGAAATTTCCCTTTCCCAAAACACCTCATTGTGTTTGTTAAGACGTTTGATGTATGTGTAAGTCTGTCACTCTGTTTTAACTTCATTGTTTCAAAACAGCTACCTGGGGATCTGTAATTGTGTGTCCCAAGAGCTTACAATACTCTGATACTTCTTAGTCTGATATTTCTTCAAATGCTCTGTCAGTTGAATCTCTCCACATATTCCATGAAAGAGCTACAGTTCATAAAACTGCAATAACATTAATAACATTTAATAATGTTTGTTTAATAACATTTGTTAGTCTGAAAAGAGGCTATTAGAGTCCTTCTGGTTTTGGGCTTCTTCGACTTACGACCACAATTGAGCCCAACGTTTCTGTTGTTAAGTGAGACATTTGTTAAGTGAGTTTTGCCCCATTTTACAACCTTTCATGCCACCGTTGTTAATGAATCACTGCAGCTGATAAGTTAATCACCTGGTTAAGTGAATCTGGCTTCGCCATTGATTGTCAGGAGGTCGCAAAAGGGGATCCTGTGACCCTGGGACACAGCGACCGTCATTAACACGAACCCGTTGCCAAGCCTCTGAATTTTGATCACATGACCATGGGGATGCCAGAAAGGTTGTAATGGTGAAAAATGGTCAAAAGTTACATTTTTCAATTCTGTTATAAGTTTGAACGGTCACAAAATGAACTGTTGTAAGTTGAGGACATAGATTTTAGAGTAATAAGTTTCTCCTTCCATTATCAAAAAGTGTGACATAACTTGCAACTTAGTTGTAAGTTAAGTATGAGATTGATCATATAAGAATAAAATGGAATGTTTTTTTGTTTATTTTATACGTCTCCAGTGGTGGGATTCAAATTTTTTTACTTCCGGTTCTGTGGGCATGGCTTGGTGGGCGTGACAGGGGAAGGTTACTACAAAATCCCCATTCCCTCCCTACCCCACTAACCTGCTTTCCAGCTCCGTTCTCCTGTGCAGGGCAACAAAAGAAGACCCAGCTGATCAGCTGGGACTTGGGAGGCAGAGAATAGATGGGGGCAGGGCCGGTCAGAGGTGGTATTTGCCAGTTTTCCGAACTACTCAAAATTTCCGCTACCGGTTCTCCAGAATTGGTCAGAACCTGCTGAATACCACCTCTGACTCCACTTATTATTATATGGCACTGACACTGGACATATATACAAGATTTCATACCAATAAATCAACAGTCCAAAGCACAAAATGGCTGAGGTTGCAGAAAACATACCACTATAATGGGGAAAAATAAAATAATACGGTAAAAACCAGGCAGCAAATCTTGTCAACTTTGGGGAACAGCTACATCTTTTAAAGTTTTACAAAAAGGCTAGCAAGGTTGGGGACATCTCTGAGGGCATTTTGTTCCAC